TTCTGGCTCACGTCAGTAGACTATTCATAGGTTTCTCTGAGTCCAAATGAGTCCAATACGTCTGACTGGGCGAGATAAACATACTTTTCGATATCTTAGTTGCGAGTTTTTCCCATTCACCCGAGCTTAGACAAAGTTATCCTGATTTTACACCGTATAGTACACCAGGCCATAAGAGAACATGAACAAATCATCGGAGAACGCCAAGAGTTGTTCTCTTCGCATGGCCCATGGTATTGCACTGATCACAGTCTACGCTATGGTGTGCATATTGGGATCGTTTGGGAAATTACTCCTTTGTTTTGCCATTGCCAATCACCCTCTCCTACGCCGAACTTCAAACTACCTTCTGTTCAGCCTAGCGATCGCTGATTTATTCGTCACCTTGGTATGCGAGCCCGTCCTTTTGGAAATCTTCTACAATCGAACATTTTTTTCACGAATGCAAAGCAAGCCTGGAAAGGCCGTATCGTCTCAAAGTCAATCTTTCTTGTTCCGCTTCAGTGATTCACTTAACCTCGATCAGTGTGGATCGGTTTATCGCCGTTGCGTTCCCTCTTCACCACAAAATTTTCATAAAGAAATGGGGACTTGTGATTTAGCTCACAGCTTCTTGGGCACTACCGATTTCAATTCCTGTTTTGATGGTTGTCCTTCCGCCGTCCTTTCCCAAAACGTTCATGGCGATGACATCGTTTTCCTTGAGCTACTTTGTCATTATCTTTTCATACTTTATGACCGTAGTATTTCTGCTCAGGTACAAGAAGAAAAGAAAGGACCTAAGAGCCCGAACGCTTTCCGTAAAGTTTACTTTGCGCAGGGAGGTCCGTGTTGCTTACATCTTAGCTATTGCAACCGGCGTTTTTACAGTTTGTTGGGTTCCGGTAAAGACTATGAGGTTTGTCATAGGTATGAAGCCAAACAGCCCTTTCTACATGTGGCTCCGAACCTTGGCTCTGTCAAACTCTGTTATGAATTTTCTGATTTACTCTGCACGAATGCGCGCCTTTAAAGAGGCATACTTAAGTATCTTTCAAAAGATGTGTCGCTTGTAGAATTTAGAGTTCGCTTTGGACTTAACATTCATCAGTCTACTTTTCTAAGTTTGCACGTGATTGATGCATGCCTTCTTAATTCCTGAACTGATATTGATTCGCTTTCCTTGAAAGTCTTGTAAGGTGAATTTATTCAATTACTCAAGAATAAAAACTGCTATGACTCTTTCATTAATAGTAAGGTTGGACTATGGACATGATCATTGAAAAACGTGCTTGATATCATTAATGATATAGCCCTAAAAAAAAGGTAACTGTCATTATTATTCACTCAAAATATTTCTCCTGTTCTGATTCGCTAAAATCCCACGCAAAAATTATCATAACCAGCTATTGTCGACCAAATTACGAAAAATTTTGCGATATGTGAAAAATGACGACAATCGTCAGGGGCACCCAACGAGAATATAGTTCAAAACCACTTAAACATAGCATTGTTGAACGTACTTTAGTATTTAAAGGGTAGATATAGGCATATTTTTATCCCCTAAAAATTTTTCATCTGTTCGGATTTCCTAGGTGAAACTAGCGATGTGAAAATTCTAGGCATCAAAACTTACCTTGCAGCCT